AAAAAAAAAAAAAAAGAATATCCTACTCTTTTTGCTGCAGTGCAAATACTGCATCAACTAACCAATTGACTTATCTGCTCCAGTTTATTTGGCTTTATCCTCCAACCTCATATGTGGGTTATACACACGTAAATAACAAGCCAAAATCAAGGAAGTTGAAAAAGGAAACTCAAATTCAGTTTAGTCAATCCCATCAAAACCATTCTATTTATCTCAGATGTCAGTCATGTAAAATAAACTTTGTTGTTAACTATCTTTTGTCAATATGAGTACCAGATATGAATTGATGAAGAAAAACTTATGGAACAGACAAGAGTTAACTAATGAATATTGTATTTAAGCTTCTCTTTTTGGTCTACAAAACAGCAGTAAAAAACTAGAACATGAAATGACAAAACATCTGAACAAAACATCACGAGCACTTTCTTTCATTCGATGTTATCAATACTTTTTTTATGAGTGTTGAAATGACACAGAAACACCAGGAAAATAACTAGCCGTATTGGCAAGCTTTTGGCCTCCTAAGATATTTGCATTCAGTTAGACGTTCATGCATAATGAGAAATTAATCAACTGATAGCCAAGCCAAATGGTGCACAAACTTAATTGCAATAGATGAAAGTGCAATATTAAAGAGTCTTCTAACGTGATTATTTGAGCTTCATATACTTCTTATTCAGGTGAATTAACAAAGCAAGTTTCTCTTGAAATTTCTCATCAAAACATAAACATTCAGTTTAAAATATAACAAAACGCATCTGAAATGCAGGGGCACAATCTGCAAACCCTAGAAAAAAAGCCTAATCTCTTTGAAAAAAAAAAACAAAAAATTCACAAACCCAAACCATAACGCAAAGATAACGAGATTCATTAAGAGTTTACCACATACTGCCACGGTATTTAAGCGTGTAAGGACCGCTCTCGAGCGACCGATCGAAATGGCTGTGCACCTTATGCTTCTCCTTCCCGCTCTGGTCAACAAGAGTCAACTCGAACAGCGCACGGACGTCCGTACCCTCGCTCGCCAGAGCGATGAATACCGACACGTAGGTGGAATTGTCCTCCGGGTTCTTGCCGTCGGGGTAGAAGTAGATCGCCCATTTGTACCCTCCGACGGTGAAATCGTCACTGGCTATGTGTTTGCCGACGCCCATGCCCTTGGCCAGAGAGTATCCCTGGATCACGAAATGGTGCGACCCGTTTATCGTCTCCGTCACGGAACGGGAGCTCGTCGGCGAGATCAACGACGAGCTCTGGTTCGGGGTTTTCTCCGGCGTCTCCGACATTCTTCCTGGGAGGGGGTTCTCGTAGTTCCTCCTTTGCTGATCTGGGTGAGGTGAGGTTAGGGTTTACTGGTTCGATTGTTTGAAGGGGTGTTGGTCCGTCGGAATTATTGGTCGAAAGGAGATGCTATAGCCTATGGGAGCACGTTTGCCGGTTTTGGGGTCGGACCGGCTTTTTTTATTGCGGAGTTGATGATTTGATTTGTCGATCGACCGGGGAATCAATTCAAGTAGAAAGATTGGAGTTACAAATCCACCCTTGCCCGCGGTTATTTTTTAATAAACCGTTTCTTGGAATTACATCTTTCTTTTTCTAGAAAATAGGATATGAAGGTTGCGATTCTTTTTTTTTTTTTGCAAAACGATATATTTTCATTCAACATGCAAACGGGAAACCAAGAGCATGTTTGTTTATAAAAAATTTTGAGTTTGTTTGAATTTTTTTGTTTAGTTTGGTTAATTTTGAAAATGTGGTATGGTTAGTTGTTAGTAAATATATTAAAATAATATTTAAAATAAAATGAATAAAATTAATTTGAAATAAAAGTATGAGAGAGAAGATGTGATGTGATTGTTAGTTAAAAATTAAAATCAATAGCTGGTGAAGCTATTGATTCAATGGTTCTCAAGTCGAACTAATAGTCGAATCGGTCGAACAGGTTTAATTAATATATAATATAATTTATTTATTTATTTTATATGTATAATATATAATTGTATATATTTCTATCATTAATTCTGTAGCATATAATGACATTTTTCTAAATAAAAGCTGAATAATCAACATTTTAAATATAGTTTACCATAATCAGTATTAATTCATTAAGTTTTTTTTTTTAATTCATTAAGTTGTTTTTTAAAATATTGGGCTTGCAAAAATCTCAAGATGGTAAATAATTGGGTTGGGCTGGTGCCAAATTGTCAAAATTCTAACAAGTCACGGCCCAAATTGCCAAAATCCAATTTTTTCAATCTCCAAATTTAAGAACAGCTGGAATGGCGGCTCTTGCTCCCAGCGGTTCAAACACTCAAAATGGACCGCTACTATGTCCGGTTCCCAGTCGAACCGGCCGGTCCGACCCGGTTTTCAGAACATTGATAATAACACATCTAACAGCAATTATCCAATTCTCATATATGAATCAATAGACGAACAAATAAAGCTACATAATGACCAAGAATGAACACCTTATCAACTAAGTTGCAGCACTGAACTCCTAAGAGACCTAGCACCCAAACTCAGCTGCTTACATGTGGCCTTTTGGTGCCACCAAGCCATATTCCATCCAGTCTGTGTAAGCCACTCTTACAACCTCATGCTCAGGTATTCTGATTTGTTGGAATTTCCAGAGGTTCAGTGACTTCCATAGCCACCACAAAATATAAGTGCTCAGTTGTATCCTTTCTTTTGTAATTTCTCTCTTATCCAATCTACAAATTTCCCACCACCATCTCCTAAATCTGCAGTTTCAGCCTTTAATCCCTCCAAGTTGACAGGGCTTCCAAACTGTTGCTGCTCTATTACAAGTCAGTAATACATGCTCAATAGTCTCAACCACCTCTCCATCAAATAAGTAGAGTTCCATCTAGTTGCACATCAAGTCATAATGATTTTTGGGAAAAATCTTTTTCACCCCAATAAAAAGACACATTAAGTTTTTCACACCGCCCAATAAAAAGCTAAGTTTTTCACCCCGGAAAGTGCGAAGGTTATGCGAAAACTGTCGCATATTCATGGCGTAACTGTCGCATATGCGAAGGTTATGCGAAAAATTGTCGCATATTCATCGCACAATGCCTTTCGCACTTTCAGGGGTGAAAAACTTAGCTTTTTATTGGACGATGTGCAAAATTTAACAAGACTTCAAAACGGGGTGAAAATAGCTATTTTCACATGATTTTTTTCTCTCAATTTTTCCTCCATGATTAACTCTTTAAATCTTTTCAATCTCATTGGTGAAAACCTCACACAGCGAACAACTGCCAAAACACGATCAATGGTAGAATTCGTATGTTTCAATCTTTCTTTAACTATAAGATTCACAACATGAGCAACAACACATATGCAAGTATTTTTCATTCAAGATAGAAGTGCCCCAATTTATTAATCTTCTTTTCAAATAGGCTACGATCACATCATGGGTAGAAACATTATCAACGGTAATACCAAACACCTTATCAATTTCATAATCAAGAAGACATTTCTCAATCAAATGACCAACCTCATGACCTTTATGTTTAGGGGCAAAGAACAAAATTGAGAATCAACTTATGCAGCTTCCATTCATCATCAATAATGTGACCCGTCAAACACAAGTAACTAAGATTTTGATTAGAAGTTCACAAATCAGTTGTCACGGACATTCTCGACTCCAAAGACTTAATTAAAGATTTCAGGCGATTTTTTTCATCAACAAACATGTTCAGATAATCTTTTGCTATAGTAATTCTTGATGGCACAATCAACTAAAGACATGAAATGCACATAAGCTACCTAAAACCTTCATTCTCAACAAATCAAAAAGGCAATTAGGGGCGTAGCCAAGATTTTTTTTTTTTTTTTTTCTCGGGGCTGCTTAAAAATCGAGCTATTATTCGAATCAAACAATTCACGAACACAACTCATTTTGGCTCGTGAAAGTTCGAACTCAACTATTTCATACACTCAAATGGCTAAGCTCGAAAACCTAATCAAGTTTGTTTATTAAATAATCACAAGTTCGAACATGAGAAACCCGACTTGACTCGACTCCAATAACAACTTTAGCTAGATGCCAAGCATAAGGAAATCAATATATGAAAATAATTCTTTTTAATATTCAATATAACTTTCATGAAATACAAAGTTAAATGAATGGAAGTATATTTTAAAATTCAATGAAAGTCAAAACTAAATTATTATATAAGTTCAATCACAAAATAAATATTCTATTAGAATTCTAGAAGAAATAAAATATATAAAATTAAAATATAAGGTGATTTATATATTTCATATGTAATGTAATATAAATTACGTAATTAACCAGTATTATTTCAAATAAAATGACTCAATATGAGTTAACCAAAATAACAAACAAAAAAATAAGAATGAAAACAACATGTTAAACTATAAATAAAAGTATATAGAGACTTACATTATGTCCAAATATTCAAGAAAAGTATATAGAGACTTATATTATCTCAATGTTTAGTTGTGCTTTCATCAAACAAGTTGTGTGCATAAATTCAAACTAAGTATATTTATAATTTTTCATCACAAATCAATTCATATTAACTCTTGATCATAACAAAACATAAGAAATATCTTCATAGCACCATTAAAACAAACATTAATACAATCTTCTTACAAATTTGTAAAATAAAATTAGAATAAGCAATAATTTGTGACTTCTTTTTTAATAAAAAAAGGTTCCAACATCTTCTACTTTTATGAATGAAAAATAGGGGTGTTCACGGTCCGGATTGGTCCGGTTTTAGCCCAAACCGTGATCAAACCGGACCTAACGGTTAATTTTTTTTCTTGTCCATAACCGGACCGGTTTTATTTTTTAACCGGCCACAATCCGGACCGCATTGGACTATCCGGTTTGGCGGTTAACCGGTTAAATCCAAAATCCTTGTTTTTGGCCTTCAATTTTTATTTTTGTCATTTTGGGCTTAATTTTTATTTTTCAATTTTTGGCCCAAAAGAGATTATTTAGGCCTAAAAATTAAGAAAAACAACAATAATGAAATAAAAAATACACAATTCGTCCCATAAGCATAAAAATGCACATTTCGTCCCATAAACATAAAAATACAAAAATGATGAAGATTAAATTATGCAAACTTAACACAAGCAAGGTGGGAAAATGTAAAAAGTTATAGTGTCTTACAAAATTAAGTCAACAAAATGCCAAAAAATGAAAATAAATGTATTGTATTTGTTGGCCACAGTGATTTTTTTTTTTTTGAAACATTCGGCCATAGTGAATGACTGAATGTATATATATATTTGTTATAGTTTTTTAATATTTATCGGTCCGGTACGGTTAAACCGGCGATTTGCCACAGGTAATTCGTTAACCGGACCGGTTATTCTGGATTTTTAAAAATATTAACTACCACATTTTTAAGGTTTTTTTAACTGACCATTTAACCGATCCGCGGTCCGGATTGACGGTTTTTTTCGGTTAAAACCGGACCGTGAACACCCCTAATGAAAAATACTGAATTATTGAGTTATTCCCAAAAGCATATAAGCTAAATGGGGCTAGACTAAGACCATCTTTATCCCTAACCCAACACAACACAACCTAATATTTAAAAATTATTTCTCTTTCCTCCACATACACAACTCAATCTTCCAACTTAATTTATCTTTATTCCCAACCCAACTTAACCTGAACATTTATTTTATTTTAACTTATTTAAAATTGTATTTGTATTCCAAAATATATCAAGTGTGGTCTCTGTTTGTAAATAATGAAAAAATTATGAATTTTCGTAGTTTTTTATTTTTCTAGAAACCAAGAAAAAATACACTTGTCTAATAAAAATGAGACAAGTGTCCCATTTTCCCCCAATATACCTGCCGCGACCTGCTCAAGTTTGTGACCTTTTACTTTTTTTTTTTTTTTTTTTTTAATTAATGGTGAAGAAGACTAATTAATGGATGAATTGGGAATTGAGATAGAAGGAAGGTAATTGATATTAATATTTTGGGCTTTTATTGTTGGGATGACTTAAAAAATTTTGGGCTTATGTTATTGGGAAAATTTAGAAAATGGGTTAACATAAAAATACTTGAGACTATCTACAAAAATAATGTAAAATGTAAAGTTTTTTTTTTTTTTTTTTTTTTTTTTTTAATTTACTTGGGGCTAGAGCCCACCCGAACCCATGGGTGGCTCCGCCCCTGCAATTCATCAACAATTATCGTACAAGCAATGACTTTTCTAATTGATTCTTCATCAAATTTTCAATTAGAACTCACTTCTTTTGTGCCCACACTTGTATTTTGGCATACTTGGCAATTGTCTAACATTTATTATTAGGATGATAGTTGCACTTATATGGCGATTCATAGAAGACGTACCATTAAATTTTCTATCGACGACGTAACTTCTTTCACAATGCTTGCATTGTGCCCTTTGCTTACCATCTTTACCCGTTATCACCACAAATTGTTTCCATGCCTTGACCTTTTAGTCCTTTTTTTCTTGAAACCCGATCATCCCTTTCATCTAATTCTCCTTCTTCTTCTCCATACACATTAAATTTTTTCATGTGTTCTTTCTCGAAGGTGGCATTCTCATTGCCCACTTCAGGTTATAGATCATTCAATGATGCAAGAGGCGATCGTAGTGGACTTGAACTCGAAGTCCTCGAAAACCCCGAAGGACCAAAACAACCTCTTTTGCGTTTTGCACCTAAAAATGCATGATTTTAGAACTAATCAACAATCACAACATAATTAAATTCAACATTAAAGTTAATTTCACGCAAAGAGTAGGTTGAGCAGTGAGCAACAATAGGAACAATGAATAAATCAACAAAGAGCAGCCACAATTTCAGCAAAAAATGCATTAATCGGTCCCTGAGATTTTATATTTTTTGTTCAGTTCAATGACTTACAACAAGACTGTGAAACTAAGACACATTTGAGAAATTTGTAAATCGAACCAAAAATAATTTAGAAAATTCACCATTAGAAAATTTCTGACTTACACCATAAAAAATTTCTTATGGTGTTCAGCTCACTTGATCAATTCTTCGCGACAGTTCAGTAACAAATTTTCTGACTTACACCATCAAAAAATTCAATCAAAACTAATTAAGAAAATTGGAGAAGCAAATTAATTGTTTCAGATGTTAACAAGTTGGAAACCCACGGGCTTTGTTCAAGAGAAAATCGGTTCAACTAACTAGCTCATATCAAAGACATAAAAATTAACAAGAATATATATATATATATAACGAGCTTGAATTGGTTCAATGAAAACAACATAATCAGGAGTTAAAAAAGAATGAGAGCTTCAAAGTCTTGAAAATCATGAACCGGAGGTGCAACACGTACGAGGGGATTTGGTTGGCGAACTCATCTCAGATTTGAGAAGACGAGTGTCACCGTCGAGTGTTGGCCTGCCGGGTGGAGTGTGTGGTGTGCGGGAGCGGTAGTAGGAGTGCAGCGATTTGGGATTTCAGACTTCAGAAATCACGGCGTTGAGCGATGATTAGAGACATGGAGTGTGTGAACGGCGGACGGGTAGAGACGAATACGATGTTAGGCAGGGTTTATTGCGTCTGCAACAGATGAGATGATAGATGAGATGAGCGAGATTAGATTTGCTCCTGCTTTGTGGTGGACTAGACCTAGTGGTTGGTGGGGCCTGTGGGTGACTGAGTGTTGAATTGTTGATGTTCCATACTTTTATTATTTTTTAACATGATTGTATTGGACCTTTATAACATATACGTATAATATCGGTTTTCGATTCGGTTCGGTTAATTGAGAGATTATATCCAAACTTGTTGAGAGAAGATGACAATATGACACACGAATTAAAAAACGAGAAAAGTAAACAACACAAGATTTACGTGGTTCGGCAATGTGCCTACGTCCACGGCGGCTGAAGGATCTTTATTATTCTCAATCGTGTCAAATACATCAATACACCATGTATTTATACTAAAATCCTACAAGGTATAAATTTACTTAAATACCCTGTAACGTACCGCGGGAGCTCTGCCCCCGCACCCCCGTCTATACCGCGGGGGCTCCGCCCCCGCACCCCGGGCCCAACTAATCGACCCAGCCCAACACTTCGCTCGGTCGCTACGTTCGCTCCGTTACGCTCGCAGGCATCAGTCTGCCCTCTTCCTTTGTCAATATATGAGCCATACCAACAAATCTCCACCTTGGCGAATATATCACCTCCTTAGGAGAACACAATAGCGAGCACCTCTGCGAGACACACCAAGCATGCCGGGGGTACCATGCAACTCTAGCATGCAGAAACATTCAACAAATCCAAGCAATGCTTGAATTTGTCAGAAGTAACAGTCTTAGTCAACATATCAGCAGCATTCTCTTTAGTATGAACTTTCTCCAACTGAATATCACCAGATGCAATCCATTCCCTAATCTTGTGGAACCTCACATCAATATGCTTCGTCCTAGCATGATATATCTGATTCTTAGCCAAATGAATGGCACTCTGACTGTCACAATGTACTAGAACTCCACCTTGCTGAATACCCAACTCTTTAACCAATCCAGCAAGCCACACTGCTTCCTTTGCCGCTTCAGCCAAAGCAATATACTCAGCTTCAGTTGTAGATAGAGCAACTATAGGCTGAGTATTCGACCTCCAACAAACAGGCCCTCCACCAAAAGTAAAGACATACCCAGTGGTAGATCTCCTATTATCCAAGTCCCCAGCATAATCCGAATCCACATATCCTACAACCAAAGGATCCAACCGCTGATCTCCAAACACAATACCATGTCCAGCAGTACCTTTCAAATATCTGAAAATCCATTTGACTGCCTCCCAATGCTGTTTACCCGGCCTAGACATATACTTGCAAACTTGACCAACAGCATGAGCTAAATCAGGAAGAGTACATACCATGGCATACATCAGACATCCAACAGCACTGGCATAAGGTATCTCCACCATATCCTGAGTCTCCTTGTCCGACTTGGGACACTGATCAACAGAAAGCTTGAAGTGGTTTGCTAATGGAGTGCTCACCGGTTTTGCTTCATTCATCCCAAACCTCTGTAGCACCTTCTCCACATAACCCTTCTGAGATAACCACAGCTTCTTTTATCCTCTATCCCTGTAAATCTCCATCCCAAGAATCTTCTTCGCAGCCCCCAAATCCTTCATCTCAAATTCCTGACTCAAAAGGCTTTTCAGATCAACAATATCACGCATATTCTTGGCAGCAATAAGCATGTCATCAACATAAAGTAACAGAAAAATCATAGAACCATCAGCAAGGCTCTTAGTGTAAACACAACAATCAAACTCACAACGCTTGTAGCCAATCTTCACCATATACGAATCAAACCGTATATTCCACTGCCGCGATGCTTGCTTCAAGCCATACAAGGATTTCTTCAACCTGCAAAATAAATGCTTCTTCCCTAGTTGAACGAAGCCCTCTGGCTGCTGCATGTAAATAGGCTCTGCGAGATCACCATGCAAGAAAGCAGTCTTCACATCCATCTGCTCCAAATGAATATCCCAACTAGCCACCAATGCAAGAACAGCCCTGATCGAAGTATGTCTAACCACAGTGGAAAATGTCTCATCATAGTCAATCCCCTTTTGCTGTGAGTATCCTTTAGCCACAAATCGGGCCTTGAACCTTTCCCCTCCTTTTTTCTGTTACCGATGACTTCCTTGTGTAAATCCACCTACAACCAATAGCTTTCTTCCCTTTGGGAAGAACATCCAACTCCCATGTCTGGTTCGTATGTACAGAATTCATCTCTTCTACCATGGCAGCCTTTCATCTATCACTATTCTCATAAGAAACAACCTCCTGGAAAGTACAAGGATCCACACTAGTGATAGGATCCACACTAGTGATCGTAAGAGCAAATGCGACCATATCTTCATAATCAAACCTGACCGGAGCTTGTATATTGGTACGCCTCACTCTATCCCGAGCTAACTTGTAGCTCTCTGGCACATCAGTTGGGCCAGAAACATCATGATCAACATCATCAGGTGCAGAACTCGAACTCTCTCCCTTATTAAGAACTGCTGGAACATGTTCCAACTCCACCTGTACCTTATCTGCATCTGATCCCAACATAGACTGTTCATCAAACACTGCATCTCTACTAATCACCGTCTTCTTCTCAACTGGATCCCAAAACTTGTATCCCTTCACACCTTTCTTATAGCCCAGAAAAGTGCACTTCTTTGATTTAGCATCAAGTTTTGACCTCTCATCAGTAGGAATATGAACATAAGCAGGACAGCCAAAAATCTTCAAATGATCAAAACTAACATCATTACATGTCCATACTTCTTCTGCAACTTTGCCATCCAGAGATGCACGTGGTGATCTGTTAATTAAATAACAAGCCATACTTACAGCCTCAGCCCATAAACTCTTTGGCAAACCCGCATTCAGTCTTAAACACCTCGCCCTCTCAGCCAGTGTCCGATTCATCCTCTCAGAAACACCATTCTGTTGTGGTGTTTTACGCATTGTAAAATGCCTTTGAATCCCATGCTCCTCACAAAACTTCTGGAACTGTGAATCGGTGTACTCTATACCATTATCAGACCTTAAGTACTTGATTTTCCTACCAGTCTGGTTCACCACCTCAGCCTTCCATAGCTTGAATTTAGCAAAAACTTCAGATTTATGCTTCATGAAATACACCCAAACTTTCTTCGAAAAATCATCAATAAAGGTCACATAGTACAAAGAACCATCAATCGATGTCACTCTAGTAGGACCCCGCACATCTGAATGTACATAATCCAGAATTCCTTTTGTCTTCTTCTTCCCAGTCTTGAAACTGACTTTTGTCTGCTTTCCCAGGACACAAAACTTGCAGAAATTGAGTTTGCAAGTTTTAACACCATGCAGAAGCCCCCTCTTATGCAGCTCAGTCATGCCATGTTCACTAAGATGTCCAAGACGCATGTGCCACAATTTCGTGCTATCTTCACACGACTCCACCGAATGGACTCCACCTACAACTGTACTTCCCAACAGTTTGTAAATGTTCCCTGCAGTGATCCTCTCCTTCATCACAGTCAAGGCACCCTTTACAATCTTAATGGTTTCCCTATCCTCATCAGCCTTGGGAATGAAACCATTTCTATGCAAAGTACCCAAAGAAATCAAATTCTTCTTCAACTCAGGGATATGTCTCACATCACACAATGTCCTAACAGTTCCATCATACATCTTGATTTTGACATCCCTAATACCGACAATACCGCAGCATCTATCATCACCAAGAAAAACAGAACCCGAGTTGCCTGATTTATAAGTAGCAAACCACTCTCTGTTAGGCGTTATATGATATGAACATCCAGAATCGAGAATCCAAGCATCATCATACTGCACAGTCGAAATAGATAACATATCTCCATCACTGCAATCAGATTCCTCATTCTGTACCACATTCGCAGACTTGGATGACATATCAGCAGTCTGTTTCTTCCACTTTGGGCAATCCCGTTTAAAGTGCCCTTGTTCCTTGCATTTATAACATGTCACAGTTTTCCTCCCTTTCGATTTGTCTCGCGACTTGGATCTGAAATTCCGATTTCCTGAATTATCCCGCACCTGTTTCCTTCCACGATCCCGGTTACCCTTCACATATAAACTGTCACTTTGAGAAGATGACTCTCCAGATTTCTGTTTCCGCTAGTTGTGAGCCAACAACGCTGAAGTAATCTCCTCAGTCTTCATTGTTTCTTTCCCATATGTAAGGGTAGTCACCATATGTTCGTAAGAAGGAGGTAACGACACAGTAAAATCATCGCCTTGTCTTCATCTTCAATCTTGACTTCGAGTGAAGCCAAATCCGTGACAACATGATTGAAGATATTCACATGTTGCCCTAAATCGGTCCCCTCCTGCATCTTCAGCCCGTATAACCTCTGCTTTAGATACAATTTTGTCGTTAGGGTTTTCGACATGAACTGCGATTTCAGTTTCTTCCAGATCTCATCCGCCGATTGAGATGCATAACGTGATACATAACTTCATCTGCAAGGCACAACTGAATCGTCCCGGCCGCCCGTTCCTGCAGATCTTGCCAATCATCGTCTTCCATCCCCTTTGGCTTTTCTGCACGCAGCCCTTTCTGAATTCCTTGCTGCGCCAATAAATCTTTTACTCTCGTCTGCCATAATCCGAAATTGCCATGACCATCAAATTTCGAGACCTCGAACTTCGATCCTCCCGTCATCTCCGTCGCCCAATCAACCAGGCTCTGGTACCACTTGTTAAGAGAAGATGACAATATGGCACACGAATTAAAAAACGAAAAAAGTAAACAACACAAGATTTACGTGGTTCGGCAATGTGCCTACGTCCACGGCGGCTGAGGGATCTTTATTATTCTCAATCGTGTCAAATACATCAATACACCATGTAATTATACTGAAACCCTACAAGGTATAAATTTACTTAAATACCCTGTACCGTATCGCGGGGGCTCTGCCCCCGCACCCCCGTCTATACCGCCCCCGCACCCCGGGCCCAACTAATCGACCCAGCCCAACAAGGGCTGATGCCTACTCGCTCCACTCCGCTCACTTCGCTCGGTCGCTACGTTCGCTACGTTCGCTCCGTTACGCTCGCAGGCATCAGCCTGCCCTCTTTCTTTGTCAATATATGAGCCATACCAACAAAACCTTATTCGAAAACTTAAATATTAAGAAAATGTAAACCGAAAACTGAACCAAATATTTGGTTTTGATTTCGGTCAAAACTGAATTTTTATTTTAGTCAGTTAATCATATTTTGTGCAACCCATGGAAACAAAGAACACTAGTACGATCTCACGATTTGTATACGATGCTCAAAATTCAGTTTTCATAATTGGCTTAATTTTTTATCACCAAGAAATCGTAAGACCATTTTCGTCCAAGTCATAGAGCAACTTTAGTAGGAAGTTTTGGGAGGATTACTGTTACACAATGTAGTGTTGAACTTACAACGGGAACCTATGAACTGACTGAAGTGTTCAGTTCTTACAGTTTGAACTAAAACAGAAACGAAAAATTACAAAATAGAAAGCGAAAATAGCCGAGGCGATTGCTCTTTCCGCAAGACGAAAATGCCCCGTATAGTGCTGACGGGTACAGGCGTCTCGTCCCCAAAGATACAACGGCTTACGTCTCGAACGCTGTAGCACACCAGAATTCAAGCTCCGACGAACTGGAATGAAGTCGAGAAAAGAGCAGTATGATATGATGCGTGAGGCTTTGAAAATAATCAGAGAGCATGAAATGTTGTGTATCTCTCACTTGCAGCTCTAAGTCCTATTTATAGGACTTCCACCTCTGAGGGATAACTAGGAGTCACAACAACCACTTAAGGCTGAGATAAATGGCACCATTAACATCAAAACGTTTCAGGTGTTAAAACCCCATTAACCAGGAGGAGTTAACACCATTAACACTATTA